CCCACTTTTTTTTTTTAAGATTTTATTTATTTATTATGTATACAATATTCTGCTTCCATGTATATTCGAACACCAGAAGAGGGCACCAGATCTCATAACGGATGGTTGTGAGCCACCATGCAGTTGCTGGGAATTGAACTCAGGACCTCTGAAAGAGCAGCCAGTGCTCTTAACCTGTGAGCCATCCCTCCAGCCCCAAGCCTGAACTGTTGTATGCACTCACCACAAGGTAGCTTTACAATGCCAGGAGGCAGGTACTGTTAGTTTAGAGGTGTGAACACCCAAATGAGTCAAGTGTATGCTCAAATCCAGAACTGGAAGTACTCATACACTCTATCTGGGATGTTGGCATCTCTTCCTTGAGAGCATTTGTTGACTTCTATAATTTGTCTTCCATAGCCATGATTGAAATATCTAGGCCAACTTAGAAATTATTCATCTTCATCTCATGGTTTTAGAGGTTTCAGCCCATTATCTCTTGTCCCCATTGTTCCTTGGCTCATAATGAGGCAGGACATCACAACAGGGAGCATGTGGTAGAGCAAGGGCACCCACCTCATGATGGACAGGAAACAGGAGGTTTGTCAGGAAAAGAGAGGGGACAAGGTATATTCTACTAGGGTATTGGTGAGCTGACCTGATTCCCTCCCATTAGACTTCACTCCGGTAAAGTTTGCAGTACCCACCAAAACAGCACCACCAACCGGGGACCTAGACTTCAACCTATGAGCCTATGGGGGACATTTTATATTTGAGCCATATCATTCATTTAGGTCATCACATCCTTCTAAGATGGTCTCAATTAAGAGCTGAAAGGAAGTATCTTAGCAGAAATTATGAATAAGGCATTAGGATCTGGTGTAGGAGGTAATAATAATGTTTATTGGGTACCTGCTATTCATTGATCCATGCTAGATATTATCACTCCACCTTATTATAGATGAAGATACTGGACCTAAGATGTATGTATTTGTCAAAGGCCACACAGTGGTGTCACAGTTAAGTGTAGATTCAACTGAAGATTCCTTGTGTATATGATCCTGCCTTCTTTGCCTCCTCTTGCCAATAAAGCCAGTGTTCTGAACACCAGCAGCCTCAGGTGTGGGGAGAGGGTACTGATGTTTCATCTTCTATGGTTACATGGAGAGGAGGCTTGAGGAAAAAGAATCAAGAATACTGTTACAGTGCATTAGCTATGAGACCAATTGTAGGATTACCTCAATCAAAGTAGAATGCATTTCAGAAATGGTGATTATAGTCAGGAATGTATATCACAATGGTTCATCCTTGGTTCCCATTGTGAGCAATAGAGTGGCTTGTCCTGTTTCTCCCCTGTTAAACTGAATATGAGCAACCTGGGGTCAAGGGTTACATCTTACACATATGTGTGGTAGGAGCTTAGGGATGGGAAGGAAGGAAAGAAGAACGGAAGGAAGGAAAGAAGGAAGGAAGGAAGGAAGGAAGGGAAGGAGGGAGGGAGGGAGGGAAGGAAGGGAGGGAGGGAGGAAGGAGGGAAGAAAGAAAGGTTGACTGGCTGGATGATTGGATGGATAAATGGATGGTGCACACAGGGAAGGATGACTGGATGGATGGATGATTGGAAGCATGCCTGGATAGATGGATAGATGGATGGTCATGTGACAAGTTGGGTAACTGGATGGTTAGATTGAGGGGAGGAAGATATGAAAGGAGGGATAACACCAGGAAGGGAGGACTGAAGATGATGGTGCATGAATGGCTGGCTGGCTGAGAGGCATTTTACAAAGCACGACTGATACCCATTGTGTACTGCTCCACACTGTTGAAATGTGATGGTCTGAGAATAAGAACAGGGCTAAAGAGAGCAGGAAGTTCTGATGACTACGAACTTCTGACTTCTGGGAACTGGGTGGACACTAACAGGCTGATGGAGTCATGGTGGCCCTGGGCACATGGGAGCATACACTGGGGAGCAAGCCTTCAGGACTGCGGAGCAAAGAATGCTCCGTGCTGTGCACAGAGGGGCCACATGCCCAGCAGAAGTCCTTCCCCTCTCTCCCATGGCCTTAGGACTTGACACTGGAGGCATCATTTTCTTGTTAGTCCCCTGAGAATCTTTTTATTTTGTCTTAAAGAGTACAAATTCCCCTCCCAAGGGAGTCCCTGCCTGCTTTCCGGGTTACAGAAGAGAGACTGTGGATATAGTCAAACAATGTGCACCCACCTCCCACCCCTCCCCTGCTGTCAATCTTGTTGCTTTATGTGTGTTTATTTTTAAAGTCAGTCTGGGGAGTATTAGCTCCATTTGATGTTTATAAACATGAAGATCAGAGAAATGAAATATCTTCCCGGAGGTCACCCGACTGAGATTCCATGGCAGGTTCACCCAGCTCACACTGTTCACACTGACCCAGTAGGGTCCTCATCCCACTGTCACCCAGGGCCATCACAGAAACCACATTCCCCATACTTGCCTGGGCTAGACCTGGAGCTGTTCCTCAAGTGTCCTAGTCCAGACCTAGTCATGTGATATTGGGGATTTGAAGCTCATATGCCCTTCTATGACATCGGTCTATATTTATCCCTGTGTGCAGGAGCCTAGGAAACTATTGTGCACTCTTGGGAATTTATGAGTGAAATAAACATTTAAATGTTTCTATAAAATTTATTAGAGAGGAACAAAATGTGACCTGTTGCTTTTTATTGGAGTGAGCTTGCTGGAGGTGGCACAGCCCCACAGAGGTTGGCTGAGCCCCCAGGAGAAGATAGACCACTGAGGGGGCTGGGTCCACAGAATGGCAAGAGGGACAAGGACCCCAGGGCAGTTCTGCCCCAACCTGCTTCCCTCCTGCTGTGTGTTCTTTCCCATCTGGACTCAGGGCTTCTTGGAGGAAGAGGCATCTCCATGAGGAAGTGTGCAGCATAGAGGGCTAAGAGAATATTGTCTGAAGGACACTAGAAACCAGGGGCAGTGTCAATAAGACAAGCTGACAGGCAGAGAAGCTGTGTGGCACAGTGGGAAGGATGCTGCCGGTGTTTGGTGTGGCCCCCGGGCAAAGCAAGGGCCAACTGGACCCTCGTGGTCTGACTTCCCATCTTCTCGTTCTCCTTTCATGATTGCAGGAGTGTAGTGGGAATGAGTACCCCAATGTGTTGATGGGCACCTTGCAGAACTGATGGCTGACTGAGAGAACATGAGGGTTTGGGACAAGGCCAAGTGCAAGAGGTCTGAGGAGTTGGCCTTTTCCTGTGTGTCTGTGACCCATATGGGACTTCTGTTGTTTGAGAAGTTGGTGAGGGAGAAATGGAGCCAGCTGAAGATGACCTGGTAGGCTAAACTTCCTGGGAGTCACTGGCCAACAGAGTTTATGTGGCCAGATGTCTGAGTTGAGGTGCTTGTTGGCTCTGCTACCAGAAAGACCAATCTGATGTCTTAATGAACTCTTAATTTAGCTCTAAATTGTCAACCAGATCCAAGACCAAGAGCAACAGTTTCCTAGAAACTAAAATTCCAAAATGATAAACTTAGCCATGAAGGCAATACTAAGCACTTACTATAAGCCAGGGGCAGTTCCATAGCCTTTCCATCTGGGGCTAAGAGATTTGGTGAAAGAACATAGCTGATAGGTCCTTGCAAGATTGGGACACATATCCCCCTAAGTCTGTTTGCTATTCATTTGAAATTAAAATATAACTGGGAATCTTGTATTTTATTTGGAAATCCTATTTCTATCTCAGTTTGTTCATTTTTTAAGAATTTGTGTGTATGTGTGCTCTCAGGTTTCTCTAGCTAGTATTTTCTTATTGGTTATTTCTGGGAAGTAGTAAGAGTGTCAATGAATTAAAATAAAATCTCTTTTCTTAAGCATCAATGCATGCTTGGAATTTGTGAAAGCTCCACCACAATGATGGCAGAAAACATGTGATACAAGAGTAGAAAAATGAAATTTTAGCCAAGATACATCTCTTGGTCATCTGGGGATTCATATGAGAAGGGCTCTAAGTAAGGCAGACACAAAAAGACAATTTCCAGAGCTCAAATATTCAGCTGAGACAAAATCCTGTGCACATTATAGGAGTGCCTTCCTGTGGCAAGAGTCTCCTGTGAACAAGAACGCGAGAGTCAGGGAGATTTCAAACCTAAATGTCTTATACACCAGAAAGGCAGGCCAGGCTGAGCCACCCAAGAGGCCATAACAGAAGTGTTTGGGTTCATAGGCCTGAATGCATGAAACAGGCCAGGGTAGAATTTTTTATGCTACATATTTTTTTATTTAATTTTTACAAAATTATAATTTCACATGTCAATCCCTTCTCCCTCTCCCCCTTTCCCCCAATTCCCCACCAGCCCCCCCCCACTCCCCACGGAGGGCAGGGCCCTCCAGGGGAGCTCACCTGGCTAGAATTTTT